TGTATCACAAGTATTGAAAATAAGAAATTTCTTCGTAATTTCAACTAAACAAATGCAAAACGGACAATTGCGAGCGATCAAATATTGATCAGTTGGTGATCAGTTAGTCGCTTCATGCTACAAAGTATGATTCGATGTCAGTGTCACCTGCTTAGTTACGCAGAGTGCTGGGCCCTCTCGACACGAATAAAAGTCCGCCAAGAGCTTGAGACTGTAAGTCCTTTAAATATGCAAGATTACTGGGGTTAAGCGAGAGGCGTTCAGTAAAGGTCTTGTGGTTTCTGACAAGGCCCTACTTCTCAATTCACCTGACTCAATCGTCATTGGTCCCACTGTCTTCTGTAATCACTTCGGAATGAGTTTGTCGATTCGGACAATGAGAGTACGATCATTGCCGCAAACGTAGTTTCCCCCAAATCCACGACTGTTGTTGGCGTGTTCATTGAAAACAGACGCACTGATCTTGTCGTTGCAAGCAACCTTGGGTCCGCTTCACTTGATATAGTTAGCAGCGACACACTGATCCGTTTCAACGGCGACATTTGAAAGGCAGTTCATTAAGCGCAGGGGTCTCCTTCGATCTGTTATCTCTAGACCAAGTTCCATCGTGCCATAGAAACGCATGCTGAATTGCATCACTGATTAGTTAAACTAACTCAACCTTTGTTAGTAGTATACCTTGCTGGTATCTAATGTGTTCCGCTGATACTGCAGCTGCTGGTTTGGTCTACTAATTTCGTGGACTTAACGTCACACCAAAGAAAGCATACCATTGGCTGAGAGTACACAACTGTGGACAGCTCACTAACGTCTTGTACCAAGAAACGCACACCAGTGTTCATGCAACCTGCATTCCAATCTATCTGACCTTCCTTTGCTTTTAAATTTAGGTGATGAAACATATTCTACTAGGAATCACAGGCCCTTGTCTAGAATAATACAGCAGTGGAACGGCGTAGCAAATACTATACTACTGAGATTGGGTGCTCCACTATCGCTAGATAGTTAATATTCGGTCCTCCGGTTATGGCTTAACTCTTTGCACATGTTTACACTAGTTTGTCTCAGCAGTTTACAAGCCAGATAATGCCATCACCAAACCGCAACAGCTCCGGAAGATCGTTTCGCCCTTTTGGGGCTCATCAGTTGTGCGCATTCCCTTCGCCCCATTTAGGGAACCACACCCATGACGGACAGACCATTGCGCAAACTAAACATAAGATTATGTCACTGAGACACTGAGGAGGGTCAGATCATCATAATTTATAGCGCAACCATCCTTTAATGGTTTGCAGGTCACTTCCTTTGCATAGGACGGTAACTGTCCTCCAGAGGCCACGACTTTCATTACACAGCAGCAATGCACGCATAACATTTAAAGATTAGGTTGGACATCATCAAAACTTCTCCTACTCATTACTAACCCTTGAAAGTTGCAAAATCTTTTACGTAGCTATTAACCCAACACCTTTGGTTCGAGTCATTTGGAAATTCACTCTTGTTTATGTATTTCCTTGGGAACCGTCGCTGTAATGTGATATACTGGCAGAAAAGCCATCACCAGTGCTGGAAGTATCTACTTTAGAAACTTGATTTCTCATTCGCGATAGCCGTGGAGCTAACTATAGACACATGGATCTGTCGGGTTTTTGGAACTAGCTGTTTCTACCCCCTAGTATTAAGCGGCGTCTACAAATCCCTGGGGACAACAACCGTTAAACAGTTAAGTGTCTATTTCATTACTTTGCAGTCTCATTGGATTACTTTGTACTTCCTTTTGTGCGGCTCCTTCGCTTACTTGCTTACGTCACTTTGTGACGCATTTACTGCTGTTTATCACTCTATCCATAATCGCTCGTGGGTATCATGGACACATTTTTGCCATAGTTGCTGGCATTTTGTTAGTTTTGGGTTGTCAAGAGACTAGATGAACCAAGTTCCCTCGCTTATTCAAAAGTATAAGATCCTTCCCATTGTGTTCCTCTGGAATGCCCCACAAATACTCATCACTCATTGCTAATCCATGTAGAAGTTAGTTCCAAGTCTGTGATAACCTAGAAGACCACAGCTGTCTTGTGGAATTGTTTAACTATGAAAGCCATCGGTCTTGTGCCTGCCCACCTCCATGCAGATCACTATAGCTGAAATATCTGAGTGGCAATTATACCTCGTCTTCTTACCATTCACCTCAAGAACTCCTACATGCGTGCACAGTAATTGCACAGTTACACAACACTGCGGTGTAAATAAACCCGCGCATTCGTGGCGCAATGTCACTTGAGACATGTTCGTGACTGCATCGTATATACATCATAACTCAGAAGCAATGACAATCTTTATTTTATTTTCATCAGTGTGAAACTCAGAAACCGACAACGAATGTTACTGGAAGAGTTTGGTCACCAAGAACTGTCGGTGAACTGGAAAACAGCATGCATTTACAAGCATGATTGAGTAAACAAAAAGTGATTAAAGGCTTTGCTTTCCGTGCACTTCTGGAAGAGACTGTTTGAGGCTTTAGAAGGATCTTGAAGTTTTAAGCTGATATTCATATGACCAGCTTTATTGTGAAAAGTTAACGAAAATTTCGGTAGGAAACAACATATTTACGCTGCATAAAATGGATGCGAACACAAGCGAAAATACCCCTGTGGACCTAATCCCATGAGCTGCCAAGTGGGCTCATAAATCAACAAGATAGAGTCAGTTTAAGTACGATCACAAACCACCGGATCAGCACTGGCCACCAAATTGACAAAAGGACCGCTTTTGAGATCACACACAAAGCAGCGGACCAGTAGAACCATCGGCTGAGTGCGCGACTACTTACTACCGCGGAATCTGTATGCATAAGATTAACAAATCCGAATCTTTGCATCCAGAAGCAACATATCCACGTGCCGTAGCTCTCATGCCCTTCATCCAAACGTGAGGAATTAGACCTAACCCAGCAATCCCACGTGCCTTCCAGCACCTGATAGCCAAAGGTACATCGATAAACTCGATCAGAATATCTTTCATTAGTTGTTACTCTTTGTACCCACAAGTGATTTTGTCAGCTTGTAACCGTTTATTTCCGTACTGGGCCTGATGACGGACAAATCGAAAATAGTTGTTTGCTCTGAAATCTCCACTTGCGTTTCTCTTTGGTAGTAATAATAAATGGGTATTTTGCACGCACGTGCTTCATTACATCGCACACGGTTGTTGACTGTTCCAATGAGTAGGCTAACCGCAGTAGCCCGACATCCTCCATGACCATTGAGTCTTATAAGCCAACACTACAAGTCTCGAAGCTAATTGACTACTATAATAAATATAAAATGTCTCTCCTCCGAGCTGGAGGATGCGTCATTTGTCCTTGCGAACAAATTGCCAATTGCTGTGTATCCCTCCTCAATAAAGCACAATGGGAAATAATATAGTAGCATCCACCATCCCCGCACAAAATCCAGTGAGGTAGGTGTTGCCATGATAGTAAGTTGTTTGAAGATGAAACTTCCCACTTGACGGTCATTCGATTATACAATTTGCTTCTGTACACAAACATACCTTGTTGCTTTTGTAAGGATATTCCTATAAATGATCAGCTCAGGGCCTGCACCCCAATGATCTCCCTAGAGTCAATAACCCCAAAGTTCCTAAGATCAGGCTTCCGTACTTAGCATTTATCGAAGATTTTTGGCGGTGATTCTTTGCGTCTACACTCATTCTGACAGCAGTTGTAAACCTAGAAAGGTGTCGGATATTCGTTTCATTTTTCTGGAAATCGACGGCAAAGCCAATGCCGTCTCTCCTCTTTGAGGCCAAAAATCGCGACCCTACGCTTTGGAAGTTTGGTTGGGACCACTGAGTTGAGGGTTAAGGTTGCCAACCGCAGTGGCTAAGTCCCTACCAGTGAGAAAGTGTGTATACGAATTACCTACTACCATAAGCCTTTCCAACACACAGAAGACAGGGTTAGGGGATGGAACATCGAACTTTGCTTGCTTATCCGTCATCGTGCGCTAGCATTATATGCTAGTTTGGCTAATCGTTGGCGATTAGAGATCGGTGGAATGTAAGGTTAGAATTTAGTTTTCTGGGTGTGCAGTAGTTGTCTAAACATGGCCGTGACGAATTTCCTTAGAAAAATTCAACTTAAATCCTACAAGCCAAACATGTGGTAAATTTTCGAGAATGTTATCCAGCTATTCACACCAAGGTAGTTCCATGGTAATGATATAGGAGTGTAGCCGAATCGGGAGATTGAGCAGAAAATCCGCGCCCTGCTTACCTTACATTCAATGTCCCAAATTTCAGACATCCTCTGCCGGTCTGTATGGTAATATTGATCCCAGCTGAAGCGGGTGCTGGACTCACGAAAGCCATCCACTCACTATAGAATTGTCTGCTTTTTGGCGAAGCATGAGTTGTGTTTCCGTAGGAAGGAAGTCTATGCCCGGCTACAAGGTATGAACTAACTTACTCTAGCTACGCGAAACATCACATTTCCCTGAGTAAACCCGTGACAGGGGTTGTATACGCAATCCCAATCTATTTAGTCCGGTGTTTGTGCTTTTATCGGCAGAGCTAATTAGGTGAAAATGTCCTGATGTCACTCATCATCTAATTCAGTATAGCAGAAGGTTCAATACATAACGAGACAAATGAGTCTGGAAATGTTGCTTGCAGTCAGAGCAGGTTTACAGATTTAATTGCATTCTAACCGAGACAGGTAGAAAAGTGGACAAAAAGAATTAATGCGAGGCTGCGAGGGAATGATAAAATTTGTTCGTCTAGCAAGTGATTTATTATCGTTTATCAGATAGAGCACATTCTAATCCCTCAGTTTCTTCGATTCCGTGGTTTAATTTTATCGACCTGGGTACATTTTCGGTTACATTAACGAGCATCTCTGCAACGGTAATGGATAAGTACTTTATGCCTCTACCATGCAGCTGTGGCGCGTTCTACTCTGCCGTATTGTTTCCATTTCATGTCTTTCTTTTGCACAATAGACTATCACTTGGCGATTCATCGGCTCCCTTCACTATTCAGTCGAGCAGCAAACCGCTTACATACGCACTAGCTCTAACTGAACTTGGTCCCGAGGTTGTCCACCAGTATGTAGGCTACGAGCCTTCTGGAGTAGCGTTCAACCAGATAATATTGAACCAACAAAGTGAGTTTACTGACATACGTATTCTGACAACTTTGGGCACATAAATATTCTCCCACTCCCTCGCCTCGACAAGACTGAAGTTTGATATGGCTGGATAGTTTATAAATATTTCTCATTAACTTATCTATGTCGGATGCTCCGATACTGTGCCCATTTGGTTTGCATTCCAGACACCATGGAATCTAAGAAAAAACTGCCGTTCGGAACAGAATGTTGTATTATGTGATCAAATAGAAATAGAAATCTATAAAATTCCGTCGGAACCCTACGAGAACTGTTATAAAATTATCTGTCACCTGTTGATACTCTAATGTTTCTTCATTTGCATGTGTAGTATTTAAAATGTTGTACTAACAATATCATTGGGTTCACAAATCTAAGATCTCAATGTTAGTGTGCTATCGTTCTCTAGAACGAATGGTCGTGAAATGTCAATATAGCAGTTTTTAACTGTTGCATAGATTTGGCGTTTACGACTGGTTCTGGTAGACTGTTCCAGACACGTACAACTTTCCGTCTGAAGTAAAGGAGGTGGGGAACTCGCTTTATACCCGGCACCCCCAGGTTGTGCCGATATTTGCGTGCTTGCATGGGGTTCGCAGGTGAAGCATTAGCCTCGACCTTGGGAAATCGACGAGACGTAATATGCGGCAAGTTACAAGGAGATGGACTCACAGTCAACAATAAGACAAGAAAAGAAGCCTAGTCCCTCACATTAAACTGGGAATAAGCCTGGTAATGGCATGTCGGACCCACTCGATTTTCTTTGCCTTCCCTCGGGCAGTTAGAGGTTAGACGGACCAGCAGTACTCTAGTATTTCTTATATGATGTAAGAGAAGAGGCGATTGGCAATCTCACCAAAACAAGTACGGAATATGCGTGTGACGACATTGAAGCAAGCGCAGTCCGTGACGATATAGCCTGTTCATGCTGTCCACGGAATTCAAATCGTAATACCAGCGTACGACTAGGTCGTTTACGAATGGCGTGAAATGTGGCTATTGGCCTGCGATGGAAGCTGATGCCTAACCACTGTCCACTGTAGTTCTGAGAATCTATTCCGTGACAAGGCAAATTAAGCTCAAGTAACAATTGCTCATAAAGTGGTGGCGGTTATTGAGCCTCTGTTCAATTGTGACAATCGGTTAGTCAGGGAAAATGAAGAAACACATCGAAAAAGGTACACACTCCAGCTGAAGTATGGATGCTCGTGACGACGAGGCCACTAAGAAAACACCAGCGTCACTGCACTGGGCATCCCACTAATGCAGTGAATTAACCTGTTATTTTGGAGAAAGTTACTCGGCACAAATTTCATGTATACACATTTCAAAGTGGTTATGCAAGGGGATTGAATTCTTGGCTGTAGAGACAAGTGAGTTTGGAATCGGAGTTATGTCATTAGTACCTGGGCATTTAATGATCTATCATAATTCGTCATTAACAGTATTCATGCACAATTACATTTCCTGCATTTTCATGCTCCTTGAAGCCATTGGTATCGAAAGGGTACCCCGCCACTGCGAGTACAAAAAGCAGCTGAAGTACGATTGAGCTTACTGCGTCAGTGTGGACCAATCAGTCATCATTTTGCTGATACCCGATCACACGCAATCTTTTTCTTACAGTCTAATCTTCGCTGTATGTATTTGCTTGACAACAGTGCACGAAATGACGATGTCATTCCACACACTCCGTCTTCCGATTTTCCTATTTGTATAGGGGACCAGCTGTACACGGTCGTAGTCCCGCAGATAGAAATCGATATGGTCTTCGCTTCACTACGAAATCAGATGAGAAGAGATAGACAGAAAGACACATGTTACGTCCAGCCGCAACGACAAATCACCACGTAACTCAGCTTGGAGACATCTGTCCCTCTCCTGTAAGGTTGGGTTAGCTTACGGTTGCGGTGTTTTCCATTGAGAAAATTCGTGACCATCCTATCTATTTATCAGCGCACACAAAGGGTCGGCTTTTGGCTTTATGGAATGGATGGCACTTCATTCTAGTAGGGACAGCAAAAGTGATAACCTAAAATCCTTTCACATATTTTTCTTTCGAAAAGGAACAAGCGAAACATGAAATGCCGTCTGAGTTTCCACGATTCAACAGCAAAATGTACATGTCGGTCTCACAGGTCGCCACCCCGATGCACTTCCCATACGCAGCCCCCCCCCCCCCCACCGCCGCCAGTTCACTGGGGTATACATATCCCGCTCTTACCACCCCGTTCTACGTTAGCTAATCTCAAATCACATTCCCCACCAAATCCCATCAACACTATCTACTATTCCCCCTCTGTCTGAGTCCCCATCCAACCCAATCCCCCAACTAACCCCCATTTTCAACACCCTCACAATCCTTCAATCTTTCAAATATCCAACATATAACCCCACTCCATTCCCCCCCCTACCCCATTCCTTAACCTCTTCCAAACCCTAATTACATAAACACCATCCACACTCCCACCCCCCCCCCCCCAAACCACCACCCCCCCCCCCCCCCCCCCCCCCCCCCCCCCCCCCCCCCCCCCACCACCCCCCCCCCCCCCACCCCCACCCACATCATCCCCCAACCCCCCCCCCCCCCCCCCCCCCCCCCCCCCCCCCCACCCCCCCCCCCCCCCCCCCCCCCCCCCCCCCCCCCCCCCCACCCCCCCCCCCCCCCCCCCCCCCCCCCCCCCCCCCCCCCCCACCCCCGCCTGTGTCTATCAGCTTCCGCAATTTCATTTCTCTATGGAGGGTCAATGCGCCCCTCACGGATGGAGACAGGTAGTGATAACACCTCAGGAAGAGCAAGTTTTAATGCGCGATTGCAGTTGTAAGTGATCTATGGAGAAATGACAAAGGTTGCGCTTCCAATTTGTAGGTGATCCTCATGTCCCATATCGCATCTGACATAGGATTTTTGAGGAATGTAGAACAATTTGGATAGCATATGCGCGTAATCATTGGTTCCTATCATGACGAGACTGAACCTTCATGTGGTGCGATAGTTTGTGTGCCTCAACAATCCATTGAGCAATACTGTATGGTGCATCTTACATCTTCAGAGCAACTCATACCACATCGGTCATTGGTCACAGACCAGACAGACTCAGTCTCCTGGCCCTCCAGATTGCGGGTTGGAATGCGTTTGGCTCATTAATCCATAAAATGGACTATTTGTAGTCCGGTGAACAAGCCCCGCTGTCCTGCAGTCAGGTTTACGAACCAGAGACTTTGGTTGAGAATCCCAATATTTCCCCTATTAGGCCCAGGAACCTGACACTGTTCTGCCCACGCAATACAGCTCAAATGCTTTCCCTTGAAACAAGCCCTTGATCCAATAGCCGATAATACTAAACCTCACCCTATTCGCGGCGTCAAGCAGGGTGAATAGGCACTTGAATGTTGCTGCTCAAGCCTAGCGGCCTTCTTATTCCCATTCTCGTGCATTTCCATCATTTTCGTCCCTTACCAACTTCACCTTTATTCCCCTTGTTTTCAATCCCCAGTTATTGGCCCTCCTCATTTCGCTTCCACAGTCGCATGTTTTCTCCTTTCAAACCAAACACGATCACAGGGCGTCGCACCCATCCATCCGAAAGTCCATGTTCAACCAAGAGGACAACGTCAGCCCATCCGTATACAACTGGGGACTTTGACCCTCCCTTAGACTCGCATGCCCAAACGTACTTAATTTGCTACAAATTGGCCAGCAGACAGTCATTGCCCGAAAGCTGGAAAACCTATCAATAAATATATCATGTTTATCGGAAACCCGCCAAAAATATTCGAGATCCGTGTTACAATGCAATCCTCCTAAAGTAACACCTGAGGCACATTCTAAATGCGCCTGTCCGTGCACGACGCAGCTGCAAATACCGGTCCAAACGGCATGCGGATTCCTTTGGGTATAAAAGGATTGGATTCAAGTCAACAGCCGAATGTGTGCCGTTAGATTGCCTGGCTCGTTCCAGACTTCGAAGCAGCGAGAGTACAAAATGTGATGATATGTTATAGCTGCCTACGCGCCAACAAACTGTAGCAAGGATTCGGTAAAATAAACGCGCTCCTCCGTAGCAGAAAACGTTCGGATACATTGGGAATTGATGATGATCCGAACGCCCAAGTCAGAAAACTGTCCAGTGAAAGCTTCATCTAAGCGGTCAAAACGGTGTACGCTCGCCTAATGATAACAGGGAGCCGTTGTTACACCTGTGTAAAAATGATCGTCTCATTCTCGCGATTAATACTTTTCGACACAGCACTCGTAGAAGAGTGACACGGCGTCCACCAGCCTCGGAGAGCAATGGACGCAAATCGATCACATCGCGATCAGTTACCGCCAGAAGGGCTGCGCTCAAATCTGTCGTTCGATTTGGAGCACAAGCGTAGACTCCGAGTACGCTCTTGTGAGTGCCGAACTTCCGGTGCTTTTCGGTCGACGTCCGCAACGATGCTGTGCTCGCATAAGCAAAATCCAACTGGCGAAGCCAGACCTTCTGAATGCGTAGAAGGTAGGCTGGCATTCGGGCTGAGTAAGCGCCCACTGAACAACCTTGACGATCACTGGTCGCATATCCGCCAGAGGTTACTATCAACAGGCTTGTCTTCATATGGCACATCAAATTGCCAACCTGGATACACAGTCTCAACACAGTCCTGAAGTTCTGATCGCTCGCCGACGTATTCCGGCTAGAAGCAAACATAATGAGACACGCAAAAATCACGGGACAGAACTGCGTGTTAGCCTGAAAAGAGACCGCACACTCTGTTGGTCTCTTCATGCATCGGAAATGAATACAGCCGCTGCATTGCTTTCCATAGGAAGTTATTTCGGCTGATACAAGATACGGGCATCAGGTGAACCGGGGTTAGCAAGATCATGCGCGACGAAAGTGGACAGCTTATCCACAGCTTGTCAAAACGATTGCAGCGCTGGACCGAATGCTTTGAGAAGCACTTCGATCAGTCAGAGTTATTGGCTTCTCGACCGGCCGTTTCTCGTCCTACTCCATGGACCGTCCCCGGTGATCCGCCCTCACGCACATCAATCGTACTTGAGATCAGACTGTCGAAATTGCATAAATCCGCAGCGGCAGATAGCATTACTTCATCTCTCTTTAAATTCGGCGGACCTGCTCTTGTAGACGATTTACACGAGTTACTGGTGAAATTGTGAGCGTAGGAAACTGTCCCAACAGACTGGAGACACTCCGTTATATTATCCTAATTTTCAAAGGAGCCTCTCATTCGGAGTGTGGCAAGCATAGAGGGGTCAGTCTGATCTAAAATGCCTCTAAATTGCTTGCGTCCGAAGTTCTCGAGAGACGGACTGGCACTCGTGAAAGTCAGAATCTCGAGGAGCAAACCGGGTTTTCTCGCAATGGTGGCAGAATCGAAAGCATTTTTACTTGACGTGAACTGTTGAAGCATCGCCATATTCATTGGTGACCCACCGTAGCGTGTTTCTCGACATTAAGTGTCTTCGATGTGGTTTGTCGATGTGCACTTTGAGATGGTCTACTCAAGAAAGATGTGCCCGAAATAATACGTAGTATTTATCAGAGCGTTGTACACGTAGTCCGGGTAGGGTGAGGGTTTATGGCAAAATGTCGCCGCCCTTCAATATCTCAAGCGTTGTTGGACAAGGTTGTCAGCCGTAACCTTTCCTCTAACGACGCTATTGAGGAAGTCATGGAAATAGCGTTCCTTGGACACGATTTACAGTGTGTGGATGTGCTTCTTGCTGAGCGACTTCTTGACTTGTAATATGCTGACGACACTGCTCTAATGTGTGACAGCTCCTGAACGTGTTAAGTTGTACTGATCAACTTAGCTCTGGTTTTCAACTCTTTTGCACTATGCTTTTCTCCTTCGAAATGCGACGTCCTCGTCCCAGTTTGGAAAGACCTATCCCCGCGCTGTCCCACCCTGGTAATCAGCTAAAAGCTGTTCAGGAATTTACGTATCTGGGCAACTATATTGGCACACACACAAACTATACGCGTTAGCTGGGGGTGGGAAGCACCTCAGCTACTGTGCCGCAATATATAGAGGCAAAAAGGCGAGACAAATAATGCAACCCGTGCAAGCCAGCTGAGCTACCGGTAACGGATTGGCTTCGTTCCGGTAAGCTATCTGCCTTTCACTATGCAGCAAAAAATTACTTTCCTATGCAAGATTATAAAATGCTAAATAATGAGATCGTGCTTGTACGGGGAGGCTAAGATGTATGGGGTGGGCCAAAGAAACTCACAGCACGAGGGCTACTGAGGTCGGCACCTGGCCAAATCAACAAGTATATCCAGCCAAACGTGTTCATCAACTTGCGGACCCCAACCACGGAGCACATACGCTCCAACTGTGGCCAGCTTCGAAGTGAGGGCCTTCATTTCTCTCGGCCAAGTCATCGGTTGGCCACCCCTCCTCTTCTTCCAGCCACATCCCTGGTGAGCAAACAACACACGTCATGGAAGTCGGTGGGCTTGCATGCGCTACACGTGGTCCAGCAATCGGAGCCTTATGTGTGAAATGACGGTGCTGAGCAGTTCAGATCCTTTTCCTGGGCCGTAAACAATGCGACGAACACGCTGATTACTCACGTGGTCTTCCCACCAGATGTTAGCCAAATTGCGAAGGCACTGGTGGTCGAACGTAACTAGCCTCTTTATCTCCGCTGATCTAAGGGGACAGGGTTCACAACCGTACAGTTAGGTCGAACGTACCGCTGCACTGTACACTACCCTTCAGGGCAATAGTGGTGTCGCGCCCGCGTCATAAGTGGCGAAGGTTAGCAAAAGCGCCTCGAGCTTTTGCTATATTGTTCGTGATCTTATCTTCAATCCCACGGGCGCTAATACAACTTCCCAGGTAGTTGAATTTCCGAACGACTTCTAGCTTGTCCCCACCAAGGGTCTGCTTAGGAGGCGATCCAGGCCAATCTTGGAGGAACGTTTTGCACTTCGATGATACAAAGCAAAGCCCGAAGTGGCTGACAGCCAGTGCTAATCTATCCAGTGCCGCTTGGTACATCTGGGAGCTGTCAAAGATTAGGGCAATATCGTCATGATGCTCCAAATCAAGATTTCGTTCTCCTGGGGGTAGATCCACACGTTCTAAGTCGTGTCCTGTGAACGCGATTTCTATGACTTCGTCAATAGCGATGTTGAAGATGAAAGGGACAGCGGGCATCCTTGTCTCACACCGCTGGAAATATTAAAGGGCGGGGACAGCTTGCCGTAAGCCCTCACCCTGCCGCTATATTGATACCCATCAGATTGAATATGTGGCCATGAAGAGTATAGCAAATGATTAACATCTTTCAACCAATCTCCGCGATCTATGGTGCTGTGGCTACAGCACTATCGCCCTGAAGAGCAGAGTTTAAAACGCGTCTGTCTGTTTAAAACTCCTATACGATCGTGAAACCTGACCCATCAGGTCGACAGACATAAAGAGACTAGTTACTTACGACTGCCGCTTCCTTCGTAAATTAGCTCAAGTCTGGTCGGAGCAGCGCATGTTAAATGAATGTGCTCGGCGTCGTGAATGGGTGCGCGAAAAGCGATTGAACCGATCAACATCATTATATCACGCACCAGGCTCCGACGGCTGGGTCACGTGTTGCGCGTACCAGTCTACCGAGTCGCTCGAGGTGCGTTGTTTGTCTGCAGTGGTATGGAGGGAAGAAGAGGAGGATTGGCCAAGCAATGATTTGGTCAAGAAAAATGAAAACCCTCACTTCGAAGGTGGTCGGTTGGTGAATCCTGAATGCCAGGCTGGGTTCACAAGGTCGATGTACACGTGTGGATGGATATACTTGCTGATTTGGCGAAGATCCGGCTCCAATGGCTTTGGGGCTGTGCGTTTTTTCCATCTCCCTCTCCTTTAGTTTCTTCTCCAATCACGTTCTCATGGCAAATTAATACTATGATATTTAAGCTTATATTACTAGATTTTTGCAACGTTATAGTGTTACGTTTAGTATCTGTTCTTTTGATATTGTGGAACATTAGCTGAGGGGCTTTTCTCACCCTCAGCTAACGTGCATTAAGGATGATATTGATGAATCTTTGCTTCCTGACTTATGTGCGAGGTTACTATAACGTATTTAATATTGCACTGTCAAATCCTAGGGTTATCGGAACACCACGCCTAACTCACTGTTAGGTGGACGGAGTTCTTTTGAGATGTGCACAAAACAATGCAGTGTGAAACTGGTCGTTGTATTTCCGATAATCGGGTTTACATAAGTTACATTTGTTCTTTTACTTTAGTACTTCGTTACCGTACCTCACAGAGTCGTCCTAGCAAGTCACATTGGTCATGTTGTTAGTCTCATTTTTACATTTGCCTAGACCGCCCGCACAATCCGCTCATCAATTCCGGTGCTCTGGCAATCTGTAGCATTCTGCAGCCCCATTTGAGTCCTCCGGAACGATTCAGGTATGTGGAAAACAAATTCAGCCAAATGGCCGGTGGTCACACACTTGGATTCAACAATTCAGTGTAAGTCGAGAATTGTGCTTTCTCAATCCTACTTGGGGATGTGTGTTTAGCCACTTTTTGTAGTCAGCTCACAGATCGGTCGCTCTTAGTGGGACCCCAGCGGGGCAGCGCAACCTAGATATTGAAGTAGGCTAATGACAGTACAGCTGGAGTTACGGACCCAGTTGGTAGATGTCCGAATAACACGCATTAGCGCATGCACGGGAAAGGCCAAAGAGCATTCAATGGACAGCATCCTTTTTCTCTCTGCATGACCGTTCTCACCTACTATCACTAATTCAGATGCTTCTAAAGCTTTGTTGATGCTCATTCCTTGTGTGTGTTGTTTGACTGCTGAGAATGTTTGCTTCTTATTATGCTGTTAATGGAGAAAGCCCCTTTATTAACACTGGAAACATCCATATCCGGCTTCGTTGTGATTATACAAGAAACAGATTGATTACCATACAAGTTGGATTCGTGAATGTGGTTAGGCCCACTCCACAAAACGCAGTCGAACTTTCCAAGTCAAAAATTTCGCCACGACAGCCCAATGCTACAGGCCAGGTTTGTTGTGAATCACAAGTTTCCTAATAATCTTCCACACTTGTTAGCATCAAACTTGACAGAATTTATGACAGTAATAATAGTTTTGCAGCAGTGTCATGCTATGTTTACACCTTTCTGCAAAAGCTGCATCCCCTTTACTTTCTTAATGTGTTGGCTTTGACTGTTACCGGGGTAGGTAGCCAGCATTCTAAAGCAAATATTTGGTTCTATGCTTAAGTACACCTGAGACTAACTAGCTAGTTTGCTCAAAAGACCTGGTAGGTGAGCATGTTGATTTAACTAGTCTACTGAAAGAACAGCGCCGTCAGAAGTGCACTGGCACGCAATTACCAGCAGTCACGCATGGGCTAGGTGTATGGAAAGGTCGCTTGTACCTGCGCAGATTTCAAGGAAAGCGAGTATTTATTTCGAACACCTGCCTACGGTGGTGTGAGTCCAGCCGACCCAAATGGATCTTCAGCCCCCCCCCCGTAAACACTTTGTGCGCTGGATCCCTTACTGCTTGCAACCGAATCACGGTTTTCTCAGACTCTCTTCAACTTTAGCCTCATCCAAGCACAGGATTCAACACATGTAGATGCAGATGACCGGTGAATATGATGGCGGAATGCTTTTAGACCTAAAAAAATATCCCGGAACCGTAAAGAATCAAACAACCGTTGTAAGCTCTTACCAGGTGAAAGAAAGCGGTTACATTTAGTGAAGCGGGACAAAATGACAAGCCGCGGATCGAAGTAGAGGTACATATTGCGTTAGAGGCTCAATCACTCGCCTCTACTACACGTGTATAGTACTTTTCATGTACATCGCATTGCTTGTGACTTCGTCAGCGAGGTTGTGCCCCACGGAGAGTAGCATATACCACAAAATCGTTCTCATACTTATGGCTTTGATGTCTTTGGTCTAAACGGCATGCTGAGCTCTACGAGGCTTGAGGCTATATGGAATCCGGTTGAACAACTAGTTCAGTCTCTGCGAGCCGATTTTCTCTGCCAATTATTGTCCGCATTACAGGAGAACAGAACGTTCCGTACCGCTTAGTGACCATCTGCTCGGGAATTAGAGTAACATTATGTTGCTTGCTTGTGTGACTCGTCGACGACAGGCGTCTGCCTTTACCCATCAAGCTCAGACGTGTGATGCATTTTCATCGGGGAGTTGGCGTGATAGTCAGTAGAACTAAGAAACTTGTCAATTCGGCATGGGGACCCCTTCCAGTCAGTTTTAGGGACGGATAAGCTTACTTAAAATTGACCAAATATTTCCTGCATCCCCTAAGGACGAAAACGCATAATCTACTCCGACTACCACTAAGCATGTAACGCACGCTTCCGAGACACGTAATCCCAGCAAGCAGAAGACGTCTAAACAGCAGGAGGTTTATCAATCAATTGAGGAAGGTACAGGACTCACGGAACTCGCGTTGCGAGACCGGGGGTGTGTGTCTGATGATTGGCTGGCTGGTGTGTGGTAACCAATCCACGCACGGTTGAGTAAGCGGATCGAAGTCATTCGCGTACGTGACATCCCCTCATCTCTTGAAATGTTTATACTCCTGGCACATACCGATCAACGGGTTTATGCGTACGCTGAGATCTGCGAAGCGTTGGTGCATCTGACGATTGTACAGTATCCTGGGTGTTTGCTTCCGTTTCCGACTGAACGGATGCTGATTCACCCAGACGTTCATCTGCTGTTTTCGTAACAAAACGTGAGCGTATGTGATCTGAGTGTCGCCGTACTATCCGACCATTTAATTCAAGATCTGCTTGGGTACAGTCACCTTTAATTACACTTGCGGGTTGCCAGCAGTGCTCATGGGGAAGTCGTGTGTATACAGGATCACCCGGCTGCCAACTAGAATCGTGGTCATTTTGCGATGCGGCAGCCTTGTCTTGTTACATCTCCATTTGTGCTCTATGATTTGGAAACAGAAGATCTAGTCTGATACGGAGTGTTCGGCCAAACATCATCTCCGCAGGTGATTTTCTTAGGAGAACAGCGATTAGACATTCATTTATTGTGACCGAGCTTGATAGCTATTCTTTACTCTTCCTATTTTCTATTTCTTGACTGTTGTTTAAACGCTCTACTGGGTTCGCCCGATTGGTACATCCGCGTCATTGTTAATGGACGCTCATCGTCATGCCCTTCTCAGCAGCGCTGTTTGCAAGAACATATTCTATTGGTTTTTTTCTTCTCATCTCTGTTCTACTTGGTTATGTTAAAGGAATATTTAGTGTCACACAAGTATTGTACTAGTTTTCAACTTTTGGGTCTGCATTCCTTATTCGCGTTTGGTTCGTGACTTTTATTTAAACGTTTCATTTCGTCATTCTGATTGGCCAGTGCCCGTCCCTGTAAATGATCGTTCGCTTTACGCTTGGAGTCCAATGATGCTATTTTTAAGGACCTACGCGATTCGCTCTTACGGACACGGTTACTTATTCGCCGTTGCATTTTACGTTTTTCCTTCAGTTGGTTGGCTCAAGCGTACTTTAGTAGCTTCCCTTCATTTTGCCTTCAAACTATATAAGCAACTGTGATTTCATGTATACATGTCTCCTTCTGGCTCGTCTTGGACTTCTTCTTGCGGTCGTGGGGTGAAGGTGTCAGCGGCGACACAACAGATTTACCAGTGGCTTTCGGGGGCGTTATCCTGTAAGCAAACAGCAAGCGATCTAACCTCGTCTGAACGGTTCCTGGTGCTTGTTTTGAGAGACATCTTTTAATTGTCTGCACCACGCTTTCCGCTAGCCCATTAGAAGCAGGGTGATATGGAGCCGTACGGACATGATGGACACCATTGCTATTTATGAAGATTTCAAATTCTTTGCTAGTGAAACATGGCCCATTGTCTGTGCAGAGTGTTTCCGGTATCCCAAATATTGCAAATGACGACCGCATTTCTGAGATAGTTGTCTCTGTAGTAGGGTGCGCAACGGGGTAAACATCTATCCATTTCGAATGAGCGTCAATTAGCAACAGGAAATATACACCATTAATGGGCCCAAAGTATTCCGCATGGATGCGCTGCCATGGCTTTCAGGCCAAAGGCAAGGGTGTACCGGACCGGGAGGTTTATTTGACTGATACTGCTGACACAGAGCACATGTCTTTAAATAGTTCTCTATTTCTGTATCTAGGCCAGGCCACCAACAATAACGGCGCGCCAAGGCTTTCATTCAGGCTTCGCCTGGATGTGCGTTGTGGAGTTCGTTTAGGATGAACGGCCGTGCCTTTAGCGGTGGAATCAGGCGAAATCCCCAAAACAAACATCCATCGTGAAGGCTCAATTCATTTTTCCGTTGTGCGTAAGGTTTAAGATCGACGGGAACTGTAGTAGGCCAGCCGGTTTTTGTATATCGCACTATAGAAGATAGCGTTGGATCATTATCGGTCCACTCACGTATGGTGTCATCTGTCAATGGAGTGGTGTCGAGATGTTGCATTAGATTTACAAGCTCTACTGGTTCCTCCAGTATTTCGTATGGGGTCGCATGTGGTAACCTGCTTAATGCATCCGCTGTATGATTGTTCAACCCAGGAATATACGAGATTCGATAATTATATGCACTTAATATTAATGCTCAGCGTTACATTCTCGGTGTAAACATCTGCTCGATTCCCTTTGACTCGCTCAACAAGGATATCAGTGGTTTGTGGTCGGTTCGTATTTCGAAATAGTTGCCCCAAATGTACTGATGAAACCTCTTGACGCCAAATATAACTGACAGGGCTTCTTTATCCAGCTGGGAATAATTCTTTTCGGCAGGTTGTAAAGTTCGTGAAGCAAATGTAATGGGGTGAATGACCCCATTGGACATTTTGTGGCATAGAACTGCTCCCACTCCGTATGGAGAGGCGTCACACTGTAAGATTAACGGTTTTTCACTATCGTAATGGACCAAAACAGGTGCGGAAGCAAGACACTTCTTTGCACAGGTAAAAGCAGATGGATGCTCACTTTTCCACATCCACGGGATGTTTTTGTGTAACAGTTCGTTTAATGGAGCAAGAATGGTCGAGGCATCAGGTAGGAAACGACGATAGTGGGACAACATTCCTAGAAATGTTGGTAGTTCATCGCTATTCTTGGACTGAGGTGCCTGCACAATAGGCGCTATTTTATCATGCAGGACATGCAAACCAATTTTGTCCAGTTTGTAACCGAGGTAACAAACAGAATCGGATAAGAACTCACATTTGGACTTTTTTTAATTTCAACCCACACTATTCCAGACGCAGGAGAACAGTTCGCAATGTGTTTAGGTGATCAGCGTCACTGCGACCAGTAACAAGGATATCGTCCAAGTATGCACAGGTGAACGGTATATCTTTAACTATATTATCGACGATCTGTTGGCAAATGCTGGGTGCTGAATTTATTCCAAACGGGAGACGCGTGTACTGGAATAGTTCCAGGTGGGTAGTTATTGTGGTCAATTCCT